AAGTTGAATAAACAAAATGTTTACTCTATTGAAATTTTCGATATTAAATACTGTCGCCAGAGGCAATATTCTCTGTTCGACGAAACACATATTGACATTTAAAAAAGTTATTTTTCTCTGTTATGAGTCACAATGCGGTAAAATTATTTTTCTGCAGTCAGTTGTTGATAGTACTCCCACATTTTCTCGGCAGCAAAAGTCAAAACATTCATGAAATGTTCTCAAAAATTGTGTCAATATTTAGTTTTCAAATTTCAATTATTCTAAGAATTTTGCAAGTTTTTCGAAAGTAAAATCGATTGAATTGATCTGAACAAAGCACTTTTGTTTCAGTTAGCTTGACACTAAGCTTTGATGATTAGTAGAAAAAGGAGTGTTCGAAAGAAAAACTCAATACTAAAACCAAGTCCACTCGAAATAACTAAGTCAAACGATAGAAGATTCATCAAAAATATTTTTCGACAGACGAATGTCGGTATGCATGCAAATGTAGTTGAATTGGATGCAGTGTGGTTGAGAGAACAGTTGCGAATAAAATGTGTTCAAATAGCTAAACTCATACCCTCAGGAAATATATTTGTTTCTGTACAATAATGTTATTTTATTTGGATAATTGCTAATATTGATTAGGCAAAAAAATTGTGACTTTTACTATCAATTAAGAAAACATTCATACAGGAATATAATTCGTAATCATGTCACAATCCATATTAATCGGTACTTTCTCATCATAATTAGCATAAAGTATTCATCATATGACTATTCATTTTACCTATTTCTCCTTTTTATGGTTTTTGACAGCAAATATTTAGAATACTTGTTTGCTTTTCTTTTTGATCAAGTGATTAATGAATAGTTTCAATAATTTTTAAATGATTAATAAGAAAGTGATAAACTAAGTTGAATTCCTAATGATTTAAGTGATTTACATTGAATCTTTGTTAAATATACAAATGAAGGCAATGCTCGTGCAATAGGTTCACATAAAATCACGATAGAGTTTATTTTTAGTAACATAGTAATCAATGTATGATTGATAACGATTGAAAAAAGCAAATGGTAATATATTCAATATAACAACATTTTATAAACCGTATATACGAAATAATGTTTATTAATCCTTCAGTAGATATTTCTAAATTAAATATAACTGTTCATAAAAATAAAATACGAATTGATTCAATACGTATTACACTCAAGCACCTTAAATTCCATGTCAATAACTTTTGTCTAAATAAATACATGAATACTAAAAGTGTAATATGCAATAAAAATCTTGTAGCAAAAAGTTAATTTTATTTTAATCATTTAATTGAGAAAATGACAAGAAAGAAGACTACATAATTACCTTTAAAAATGATTTCTCTCGATAAATAACTTTATTCTTGTAGATATAGAAAAATTCCAAAGAAATTCTTAATAAAAAGGATGTTTTAAAATTATGTCGATAGATCATTAGTTGCTGAAGATTTTCAATATTCCATTTGTACAGAACCATTTCTAAAACTAATGTCAATATACTATATTATGATAGATTATATCAATTTTGTTTTGAAAATAGGTTAATGACGATCGTAATTCGTATTCAACCTTGTAACGGTTCACTTAAATCACTAGTCAATTTATTTTCAGAGAAAATATGAAATATTTTAATAGTTTTTTCTATGAATATACTTTTCTTTTCTAACTCCTCCGATTTCAAATTCATTCAATATATAGTATATATCCGTCTTAGGTGAGCTGTCATATTGTAGAAGTAGGAGTGAAATTTTTCATAAGCTCTGTTATAAGGTTGCCGATTTTTCAAAGACTACAAGGCAGGCAGGCAAAAGAGAAATAGAGTTCAGTAGGTTTTCTACGCTGCAACTAGGAATTTGTCGTTCATTTGTATTGCTTTTTTACTCTTCAATCTTTCATTAGAACCTGAGAACTGCAATGCAAATAGGGAATTGAAAATAGCGACATGAATTCTATTTGATTTATTCCGTTTTATGAAGGAATATAAAAATAAAAGTTGAGAAGAAAACAAAAAAAAACAATTTAATTCCACAACAACTTTTGATAAATAGAATTTTTTCGAAAAATAATATTCGACTACACGTAAACATAAACATTGTAATTTCTTATTTTTTCATGGTGTTCTTAACCAGTTCTGTATTAAATACATTTTTACTATACAGATTATTCGCACAAAAAAAAAATTAAAATGTTGAATATCACAAAAAAATGTGCAAAATCAATATAAAATAAAAGGCGCAGAAGGAATGTGTTTTATTATTGTGTCGAAGACGCTCTCGCTAAGTCCACGCCTAGAAAATAACGAAAAGAAGAAAATATATCACAGCTTCATTTTCTTTTGTATGTATTGCCCGATTAAATTTATCTTTTATTCAATGTGTCCTTTTATTCATTTGAGTTCTGCTGCACATTTATTTTGTCACTTGTTAATTAATCAGCAATGACAAGTTATCTACTATTTTAACGAGAGGAAGAATGTCACCATCTCATTCTATCAATTGAAGCAGCCCTGAATATGAAGAATGGAAAACAAACTAACAGTATTTTATTTGTGTATATAGTTATACTTTGTCTTTTTCTTCGTTCAATGTGACTTATTTCTCTTCACTATGAACAGAATGAACAATTCTTTTGTGATCATGTCTGTTAAAAGCCATATTTACTTCGTCATAAACGTATTTTTTTTAAGGAATAGCTCAAACATGCTTATTCTTTCTCGTTCGAACACATTTCATGTCCCTCGATAACGTTTATATCTATGCTTTAAAAGACGAAGAATAGAAAAATTTGAACTTTTAATTCGACATGAACCTTATTATTGTTTTATCATTTTAAATGGAATCATCAAATAAATGTTTTCCAATTGTCAATGACGTTGTAGATTATTGTCAAAATTCATCTCAAGTTCTTCCTTGTAATGCGCGTCAATATTTAATGTGTCCTCATTGTTCATTTCATCTTTGTTTTGAACATGAACAACAACATCAAAAACAAATTCAACATGAAGCATATTTTTTACATCATCAAGCAAAAGATTTAGAAAAAACATTACATGAATCTAAACCTGTACAAATAGTTATAGAAGAAGTATTCAATTCATTAAATGAATGGAAACAAAAAATGCATAATTTTATCGATCAATATACTGAACAAGTTAAAATACATATTGAACAAGCAGAAAATCGATTAAATGATCAATGGATTATAGCTAAAGACGAATACTTACAAATGTTACATAATTTTGTTATTGAACCTATTGATCAATTACTAAATGGTATTATTTTAAAAAATTCTTTTTTTTTTTCATTTAGTAACTGATACTTTCTAGTTTTTTTTTCCAATAACTAATATCCGATAGAGAAAATAATAAATTTTTTCGAATTTCAGCACCAAAACAAATTCATCCAGATGAAGTACATCAAGTCCATACTCAATTAATTAATGTTCGAAATCAAATCACAAATTTGTTAACATACCGTGATCTTCTTCGAATTAATTTTGATTCATGCTCATTAGCCGGTAATATTAATATTTCTCGTGGTCATTTTCCTTCGCCAACGATCATTTCATTGACATCTTTATCTCAACAATCTTCAAATTCATTAGAAAATATTCCACATCTAGATCGTATCGATTTTCTTTATCGATTTGATATGTTATCAACAGATACATCGGCTTTAGGTGTTTCTTCTTATCGAATGGGTAATTCTACTCAAATATTTGTTACATGGATTAAACCAAGTACATTAGCGATTTTTGATTCCGAACAAGGTATGATTAAATGTGTAGATGTTGAACCATCATTTATAACAATTAATGATATCGTATTTTGTGACTATTTGAATATTTTTCTTATTGCTGGTGCTGCTCTTTACACTTTTGATGTAATCAATAATGATGTTAAAGAAATTTTTACATCTGAAAATCCACAGATATGGTCAATTACTACACATAAGTAAATTTTTAAAAATTTAAAATCCGAAACATTTTATTGAAGATATTATTTTGCTTTGAGAAAACTTAATGAAACGTTTTTAATTATTGTTTTTATTTTTATTTTAGAACAAGTCTATTTATTTGTTATGTTATGGGTGAATTACCTTTAATTGAACATCGTTCATTACCATCATTTCGTACAATCCAAACATATACTCGTTCACAACTTTTACCAACTAATTCTTCATCAATAGTTGAAATAGCTCGTTGTATTCGAACTAATGGTTATCATATAGCAATGACCATTCGAAATCTAAGTACATATGAATGGCGCGTCGATATATTTAATTTTCATATGCAACGATTATTCAAAGGTGAAATTTTAGGACATGCAGCCTATTCAGATTATTGGTGTTGTTTATTAACATCTTATCGATCTTACTGGTGGTTAGTTATGAATAATACATCAGAACCAGAAATATTGACATTAATCGATAAACAAGCACATATCAGACAACAAGTTCAACACCAAGGATATAATATTTGTGTTTTACAAGGAGAACAACGATTTGTTATTAAAGATCAACAAGGATTAGCAGTATTTCGTTTTTAAAAATATATCTGTTATTTGTATTTTTTTATTTATTATTGTAATTTTATATATATATATATTTGTGAGTTTCGATTCCTTATAAATAAGATAGACTAATGATAGGATTAAAATTTACTTTTTTTTTTCTTTAAACTTTGAATCAATAGAAGCTGGATAAGATCTTCTTTAGGTGATTAAATATACAGATTTCATTAATTTTAGTCTATATAGTAGAATTTGCGAATGTTTATAGTATTTACAATGCATGCTTGTAATCATTATAAAAATTTTGAAAAAGTTCTCTGAATCACAATAGATAAGTATGCTTTCAACATCTATTGTCTTTTTAATAAAATAAACTTAGTTATCTGAATATTTGCTTTAAGTTATCACTCTTATCATCGACTTGGGTTGTTTTTCTTAGGGAGAACCAATTATAAACGTAGCAGACAGCATGTTGTCATTGATTGCAGTACTTTATGCATTCAATTTATATTTTATTGCTAGTACAGCTAACAATGTTACTGTCGCTCTCTTACAAATGTTGCCAAGTAACAATACCAAAGAGAATATTCTTATTGCTGACAAGTATTGTTGTCAGGCAGCACAACTGAATGCTGACATTGCACTTATACCTGAAATGTGGAATGTTGGTTATTCAGCTCTATTTCCTGGTTATAATGCATTAAATGAGCAACCAGTTCGAGATTGGCTTGAATTAGCTGTCGATCGATGCTCTTCGTTCATTGCACATTTTCGAGCTTTAGCAATTGAATTGAATATGGCTATTGGAGTAACATATCTTGAAAAGCATGCGAATGGAACATTACCACCAAAAAATTCGTTAACCCTTATTGATCGATTTGGTCGAGAAATTTTGCATTACTCAAAAGTACACACATGTGATTGAACTGCACTTGAGGCACTCACTTATCCTGGCGAGAAATTCTATGTAGCTAATCTAATTACTGTTATGAACGTTTCTCTTCATGTTGGAGTTATGATTTGTTACGATCGAGAACAGCCAGAATCTGCTCGTATTCTCATGTTACAAGGAGCTGAATTAATTCTTATTCCAAACGCTTGTTTCCTTGATCCCATTCGTCTTGCCGAATTACAAGTTCGAGCATTTGAAAATGCTCTTGTCACCGCTATGGTTAATTATCCAACCCCACTCTACAATGGATGGTCAAGTGGATACGATGTGGATGGACATCTGTTAAATACTACGAATAATCAAACCGGAATAGTGATGGTTACATTCAACATTACACGTACTCGAGAATATCGGACAACGACCATTTTTGGGGATGCTTTTCGACGACCTCAGCGTTACGGAGATTTAATTAGATTCAAAAAGATGTTAGACTTTAAAGCTACTAACTTTTATGGACGAAATCGTCTTTTTTAGAAAGAGACTGTTCGAAGTAACCGTGTGAAATTGAATGCAAGTGCCAAAAAAAAGAAGAGAAATAAGTACATTTATATTAGCTTGTTATATGCAGAATTAATCGAATGTATCTTCTGAAATCTTAAATTTTTTTCTCATGTATTTCTACTCGTGTAAATTAAGCAACTAAAGACACCTTTTTTTGTATAAAACTTGAAAATTCGTCTTCAGTCGGTATTATCTTAGTTTGTTTAATTTCAGTTCGAATGATTCGATATTTCAACTACGTCTGAAAATAATACTAGATGGTGCAAACACTTGGTCTACTACAGTCATATAAATAGATGTACAAATGAATTTAATAATAGAGATATTTCTTCAATGTTAGAGGACATAAGAATATCCAAGAAATTCTTTAATACGTATAAACAATCTATATTATTTGCACTGTAGCTAATCAATCTCATCGCACAAACTTGCATTGAAAAATCGTTAATTAGAGCATGATTTTTCATACACTATTATTAATAACAACTTAGTAATATTTTATGCAGCACACAAAAAACAAAAACTGTCAATCATATATACTATAGCTTTTGTATAAATTATTGTCAATTAAATCAACTAGTCATCATTTGAAAACTTTTACTATCAAGAATGAACAATATCCGCGGTCAACTGACAAAACTATCGCATTTAGCTATATCTGATATATAATTTGGGTATTTTCGAATTCCATTTCAACACCACGGTCAGAACAATAACGTTAGCTGTTAATTCAGCCAGTTATTGGAATTTAATGCTTGGCGACAAGGACTAAGCGATGAACAACCGACTTCTCTACTTCTACTTCCATTGCAAAGAAAAGAAAAGCCCTTCAAGATAGACACATGCACTAGCATTTATGTATGAAATCCTTGTGTACTTAGGAAGTCGTTCCGATCATTTACAACATCTTGAACAAGTCTAACTCATCTTGGCTAAAACGACATTCAAGATAAAATATTCTAAAATGTGAAATTACATCAATAGAAAAAGACACTGGGTGACGCAAATGAATTACACAGTAATTCAACAAAAATGAATTACAAAATAATTCAAAATTTTTATATTATATATATATATTTATAGAAGTATATATATAATAATAATAAGTTTATTAATATCTACCAGGGTCTACCAGGGTCTCGATGTGAGTGCCGGGAAACGACTTACATCACATATCTCTCGATGTGGGTGCCGTGAAGCGACTTACATCACATCTCTCTCGATGTGGGTACCGCGAAACCCTGATAGACCTCAGTACACTCTGGTAGACCCTGGTAGATATTAATAAACTTATTATAATTATAAAGGGTGTTCCGGAAGTTCTGAAACGATTTTAAAATTTATCGTTCTCGCATTCAACAAATGCAAACTCTTTGAAACTTTGACATATTATTGCACATATGTAGTGCCACATAACTACAAAGTTTGAGATCTATAGGTTCTACTGTAGAGGAGAACCTGTAACAACACTATGATGTACTATTTTTAAAATTTTCCTGTATCCCGAGTCTACCAAAATATCTGTATTTCGGCTTAGGTAGATGATAAAATCTTGAATTTTTTTTAAAAGCTGCGCCGTGAAAAGCTCTACAAAAATTGTAATAACAAATCCCTATTGACTTGTGTTAATGGTTTCTGCCATACACAAAATGAAAAACCTACATGATGGTACTACTTCTCACCATATTGGGCGTAATAAAAAATGTTTGGAAGAACATTGTTTTGCATGTATCTCAGCTTGACAAAATGATAAAATCTGGATTTCTTTTTCAAAAGATTCACCGTCCAAAACTCTACAAAAGCTATATAAACAAATTCCTATTCGAAAGCAAAAAGGTCTTCCAAACCTTTTTTTATTACGCATAATATGGTGAGAAGTAGTACTACCATACAGATTTTTCATTTTGAGTATGGCAAAAACCATTAACACAAAGTCAATAGGGATTTGTTATTGCACTATTTGTAGAGCTTTTCACGGCGCATCTTTTAAAGAAAAATTCAAGATTTTATCATTTACCTAAGCCAAGATATAGACGTAATAAAAAAATGTTGCACACCTCGAAGATGACCAGAAAAATTTAAAAAATAGTACATGTCAGTATTGTTACAGTTTCTCATCCATAGTAGAACCTATAGACCTCAAACATTATAGTTATGTAATACTATATATGTACAACAATCTACCAAAGTTTGAACAAATTTGCTTTTGTAGAATGCGAGAACGATAAATTTTAAAATCGTTTCAGAATTTCCGGAACACCCCTTATATATACTTCTATAAGTATGTATATACAATATAAAAATTTTGAATTATTTTGTAATTCATTTGCGTCATGAACTCATCAAGTTTTACTCTTATGGTTTAAAAGTATTGTCGTAAATAAAAAACAAAGTATTAGCTTATCAACGAATTAAGCAAAATCAACAATATTTCCGAAAATGATCAGTCTCAATCAAATCGAACCATGAATTGGATTCATGTAATAATTTTTTTGCAGACCGAGAGGCTGAGTGGATTGAAAAATTTTTCGTAACATCTATGGATTCATTTGAAAGTAATTTACGAATTTATTCAGTAGATTCGTACCGAAATGAGGTTTTTTAAAATGAATTCAAATAGCTTGGTTATCTTTTCGATTTTCATTATTCAGCTTTGAATTCGAGTCTGTATGTGGAACAATCATATGGCAGCTGATGTGGCAAATGCACTCTCATAGTAATTGTCCACCTAGAAGCTTGACCAATTTAATTAAGAATTTAGTATCAGTCGTATAACGAAAATTTGAATATCTACAGATCAAATAAAGACCAATTGAAGAATAAATAAAATTTCACGAATGCTTTGAACTATCGAATTTTTTCCACTATACATCAAATAATGATTAAAAGTGTAGTTGATAATTTTTATTTTCTTAATGATTGCAAGTTAAAATTAATCGAGTTGAATGAAATCATTAAAATAAATGCTTAGCTTAGTATAGTGCAACAAGTTCGAAGACAGACTGCTGGTTAATTTCTGTGTCTGTGTTAGAAGTGCGTTAGTTGTTTAATGTTATTAAATAATGTTTTTAACTGGTAAATAAACACTAAAATCCATTGATTCATCAATAAATTGTTTATTTACGTACTAGCCGCTATGCTTCTCATTAGAAGATACAAAAATATTATCCTTATCATCAGAAAGAGAGGCGTATATACGATGTGTAATAATCACGTGTGAACTCTCTGTTTCTCAAAACTCAAATCGGAAAGATTGACTCGTTGGGTGATATTTAAGATTGCTTTCCTCAAATATTATCTAGATATTTTAACTAAACTGATGTGAATTTTAACAAGTGAAAGAAACATTAGTACACGAAGTTAATGATATTTGATTTTGAGAAAACTATCGGAATCATGATCCAAGAAAAATAAGTCTTGATTATTAGAGAAATTAATTCGATCACCAAGGACATCTATTGAAAATTTTTTGAAACTACAGTGTTAATGAGTGAACTATGGATTATGGACTCTAGTGTGATTCACTTGTTACGAATTTTTTTATTCATATGTTTGGTTCAGTTCTATTGAACTTGCGTTGTGATTATTTGAGGAAGTTATTCATACTGTCATTACATTAGAAGTAGTCTCATTATTTACTGTATTTTATTTCTCATTCTTTGTTTTTTGTCTTTTCAGAGCACTAGTGATATAGAAGACAAAAACTTTGTTATTTTACTCTCATTTCTAATATGTCAACAAACAAAGAGCATATATTTGTAGTTGGTGCTAGTGGAGCTATTGGAAGTGGTATTGTTCGTGGTCTTGTCAAACAAGGATTTAATACAACAGCTTACGTACGAGACGAGTCTAAGGCAAAGAATTTATTCAAAGATGAACTTCTTACTGAGTGTCTGACAATCGTTGTTGGTACCTACGCATCTGTTGAAGTTTATGAAAAAGCAATTGAAGGGCATACTCGTCTTTTTCTTCTTGCTGTTGGCGATCACAAGAGGCCTACAAGAATGAGTGAAGTTAAAGAAACTTTTGCAAAGATAGCTTATGAAAAAGGTGTACGCCAAATTGTTGATCTCTCTTCATTTACTGTTCGTTCGGTCGGAAGACAAGGCATTATTGGATATATGCATACAACAAGTGAAGAGAAATTATGGAAACTTGCCGATGAACGACCGGATGAACGATCCTTAGTCATATTACGTCCAGGTGTATTTATGAGCAATCAACTTATGGCTGATATACAATCAGTTAAACATTCAAATAAACTTGTCTCATGTGGATCTCCTTCATCAACATTTGCATGGATTGATACAAAAGGTGAGTAATAGAGAAAAAAAATCTTATCAAATGATAATTCTTACTTGCTTTAGCCAGAAAAGAAGAATTTTGTTTTCAATCAAGAGAATACATCGAGTAACATGGATAGGCGAGAGGTGTCTCACAAAATATTTTGTTTTGGAAAAAATTTGTCTAGCCAATTTTGTTCTCACTACTATTAAACGAAACACATAATTTTTATTATCTAACTGATATTTGAGATAAAAGTGGTCGACAAGTGAAATAAAACTTTATATTTATTTATAGATATTTCCGATTGTTCTGTTGTTATTTTAACGGAACCCGTCGAGAAGCATGATCGTTGTGTTTATGAAATGGGTGCTGAATATCTAACTCACGAACAACGAGCAGCTGTTTTTACTAAAGTTCTTGGTAGGCCTATTACATACGAACAACAACCAGCAGAAGCTCTTTACAAGATGTTCATTGGTTTTGGTCTTTCTCATTCATATGCTTATGATTTAGTTTCGTTTCCTATCGAATCGATAGCTGGACATGTTACACCACAATTATCTATTCTCATCCATAGACCATTGCGTACACTTGAAGAGTGGTTGCAAGAAAACGTCAAAGCATTTCAATAAGTTTGACATCATAAATACAGACTGTAATTTGTTGTTTATGTTTATTTGATGAGAAATGTGCGATTTTGTCAGTTCCGAGTAACTTATGCAGAATTACAATCTTTTTCATTGATGATAGTGTCATTTTCATGACAGTGCATGTTTAAAATAAAACCCATGTATTAATTATGAGAAATCATTAAGGAAATTTCCGAAGTAATTTTCTTCTGTTATCGTCTATGCTCCTTGTCTGTTGGTTGGATTTACAAGAAAACATGGTCAATGAACAGCAATAAACATAGACTTCACTGGAAAAAAAATGTCCCAAACAAATGATTAGCGAGTGGTTCTAGAAGTAAAATGGACAATTCATAAGAAATATTTAGTTTTAAAGCAATTTGAGCATGGATGGAAACCTTTCTTTGGCAAAACATGATTGCACTTTAAAAACATAGTGTAGAACAATATTTTTCATGAGTTATAGTATACAACCTTCATTTTCTTTCGAAAAGAATTGTGAACTAACAAAAAGATTTTGAGAATTTAAAAAAATAGACAATGACAGTTATATGGTTATACACAGTTATTGCGCTTAAGTTATTTATTTTTGTTTATGATATGAATTGACTTCAAAATTATCTCTGATTATGGGAAGAAGCTAGTTGGCTGATCTACTTTCTATTATGTTCATTAGTTGATCACATATAATTCGTTTTCATGTTGAGAAGACATATTACTATAAATTATTACGATCACTTTATATTTTCGATTGTTGCATATGCTTTGATATTCTCTAGAAATGTGATCAGTTATATGCCATGAAATAGAAATATTTTATCTTTAGTAGAAACTATTACTCTTTCTAATTAGTACCGAAGATAATGCTGCTGCTATTAAACAGCCAAAGTCAAATTTCGAATAAGAAAGAAAAAGAGAAAACACTACGTGCACACTATTATTTCCTACCCATCCACTAAAGAATCGTCACTTGTAGATCACATGATTCTATTGATGTCAAATAAAAAAACAATGAATTGAATTTTGAATAATGGTCTATGTTATATGTACTGAAATTTATATAAAGAATTGTTTAGCTCTTTTAAGAAATCATCAAAAGAGTTTTAATAAATTACGTAAAGAAACAAGCTTGAAAAATTCCATGTGCATGCTACGCCCATATAACTGTAAATAAACCGGTAAAGATGGACTAGATTTGCATTGAATTCTTTCTCCTATTTAGTTAAATATTATGTGACTACTTGACAAACAATTCTTCAACAGGGATGTTAATTAAATATTGAATGTTCGAAGTTGATTATTGTTACTGATTTTTCTAAACCCCTTATCATTTCTTTTAAAATAAAATGTATTTAGATGGAGCAACAATATCTTAGGTGAACTTTTAGTTACATTATCTTTATTTTTTTTAAATACAGTTGATTATTGAACAGTATATTTTATAAGTTCATTGTAAATCGTATTCTCGTCGTATTTAGCATATATAATTACTTCTCTTGAACCAACAATAATTTGTCTCTTTAGAATTGAATCTCGATAACCTTCTGTTTTCACCCATTTTGAATCAATAGTCAAATCGACTTGTCTTGCATTAGGTATTTCGCAATGAAGACAAACGACAGCACCTCTTTTTAAAATTCCATTCAAGGGTTCGTATATGCGACATTTTTTAGAGAGAAATGTTGTATATATTACTGGAAATTTAATTGAATGCCGAAGTTGTGTCACATCGAGATGAAATTCAACAGCAATTCCTGATATTACTCCATCAGGAGTACTGCAATGTGCAAAAACCAATAATTTATGCTTACCAGTTTGTTCTGGTGCGAAGAATAATTGCCAATGTTGCTTTTCTCTATTAAACTGTGTTAATGCTCCATTTTCTAGTCGAATACCATTGTGTTCTATACAACACATCAGTTGAACATCATCCGGTGTTTTTATGCATACTTGAGCATAGGAACCATATTCAGGCCACATGACTATAGCGCTATTGCATGGTGTTTCTATCTGAAGATCGAGATCATGAAAGAGTTGCCATGTTTTTGGATATGAAAGTGGTGGTTTGGGAATTCGTCTAGCTTTAATATTGAAGCGTGCAGCAATTGCAAAACTGCCAGGATCTAATCGTCTTTTAGCTAAAATATAAGCTTCGAATAAGCCATCACGATGAGGCGCAAACATACATCGCCAAACGCCTTTTCGTCGATCAAGAAACGTACAGTGTCCTCCAGGAACTTTTATACTATTATCTACAGTTAATCGACCGGCGATTTCAACATCACTTGGTGCTAGAATAAGAATTTCAGTATGATTGTCTCCATGATCCATTTTGATTATATGTGTATTGCACGGCCAAACAATTTCAAGATTTAATTCAAAGAAAGATTTCCAAGTTTTCGGAAAACTAATTGGTTTTGATGGCATTTGTCTGATATCGAGTTCTAACTCAGCTACATTATTATATGAACTATTAGCAATACTATCGTCTTTTGCAAAGAAGCGTATTATATGTACACCTATTGAAGCTGGAGCAAAATAGCAACGATAGAGTCGTTTTCGCCTATCAAATACGATTCGGTATCCACCATCAATTTCCTTTTCGTTCAGAGTGAAACTTGCAGTAAGACTGATGCTACGCGGGGCTTGTATTACCACTAATGCATAGGATTGACGTGGAACTAGATCAACATGTATGATATCACTAGGAGTGATCAATTGAAGATTGAGTTGAAAGAATTTCGGCCACAGTTTAGGCATCTGCATATATTGCATCATTTTGATAGGTTTTTTTAATAGTTGCCATCGTTCACTAGTAGGAAAATGATGATAAATCATTTCATTCGGTCGCGGAAGAAAATAGTACGGATTCAATTCACGTTTGAATACTTGATTATCATCAACGTAACCAGCACTGCAGGTCAAATCGATAAGATGCCAGTGCTGATTTATTTGAACGGCATTCCACGTATGATCGATCGGCACAGATGATTTATTGGAAGAATCAAAGATGTATGCTTTCGAATAGCCATTTACTTTCTCGCACGTTAAGTCCAATGCATTACATAAACGTTTAAATAAATTTGCATATCCATCGGCTACGGCTTTTCCTGTTCGAAAAACTGCTTCTGCTGATTTGTCAACATGTTTTTTGCCAACATATGGTACAGTATCGTATTCAATATTTCGTGCAATCCAATAGAATACGATCCAAAGACGATCGATAGTCGGTTTATTTTTTGAAAAGTTTTTGATCTGATCGACTAGTTGTTCAATCGAATCAGGACGCCATGCTTCAATAATTAAACGATAACTACTGTTGTCGATTACATGTTGACGTTGTACATTAAAAGGTTCATCGAATGCTTCTGGATGAATAATTTCCAGTTCCCTAGCAGTATTTTTCTTATCACTAGAAACGACAGATGTATTAGATAAATAAATAGTCGATTCATCAAATGAATTATTAGGAGTATTATCATCGTCAGTCTTTTGAACAGTAGTCAACGGTAAATTTGTTTTATCAGTAATCGAATATAGATGTTGTGGCGAAATTTCTAGTTGTGGAATCGGTATGGGTTTAAAAAATTCGTTCAAATTTATTTGCTCTCGAACTCGTAGAATCTGTAGTACATTTGATGGAACGGATGTATGTTCGTCATCAGAGCCAATATTATTCGATATTGGACCTAACAAATTATTCAGATTTTCAGCGTGTTCCTTTTCGGAATCGGATTGTTCTGGACTTGGTGGAATTGGCGTTGATGTAAAAAATCTATCTTCGTTGTAGAAATCAGCTCTATCTGGTAGTACCATTAGACGCCAATCATCAGGAATTTTATTATCACTCTCTGAATAGCTTTCACCTGATACAGATTCTACTAGAGTATCATCCTTCTTCAAATTAACAGGTTTTTGCAATGATGGTAAATGGACAGTTGTGTTCTGGTTATGCGTTTCTTCAATAACATTCTTTTTTGTTACTGATTGTATAGGATAAGTGGATTGTTGCTGTTTATTTTCTGAATTATATTTTTTTCGTCTAATAGGTGGAAATTGAGACGAGATAACGCGTTTATGTTTGTTTGCTAGATCATTTTCATTCGAAGCTTCTCGAGGGCGTAAAAGAGTAGGAACTTTATCGTTATTATCAGAATCGATCGGATTGGGCCGTTGTACAGGATGTGTAGAATTCGATGGTGTATGATTTTTATCGGCATCACATTCTATTGGTGTTAATGGTGCAATAGTAAGTATGGACTTTTTATGCTGCTCTTCTGAATTGTTAACATTATCTGGTTCTGGCTGAGAAACACCACTTACACGAACATTTTTGCAACAGTTTGATCCCATACTATTTTACTAAACACGACAAATGTTAATTTCACTTGAATATGTTCAATTGTTCTTCTGATTTTTGAGTCATTGCAAGAGAAAAGAATGTTTACATAATACTTTTTTTTCTAACCTCTCTTTTATTGTCACGTTACAAGCACATAATGGAAGAAGAGAACACGAAAAAAATGGATTCAATTATATTTTTTCTTTAAAAAGACCATTTTGATATTATTATATGTTATACTTCGAGAAAAACTTTTTCATCGCTAAATTATACTTTGTCTAAGGTCATAGAAAATCAATCTGTATCGTTACAAAAGGTGTAGAGTATAGTTTATCAATACATGAAATTGTACTAACATGTGAATATCAACAGAGCATGAAATATGAATTGTTTGAGAGTGGATTATATGCTCTTTTACTATGAAGAGAACAATGGTTACGATTGACAGTTAACAAAGAATAAACGGCATGCATGAATAATAGAAAAATCAACAAACAGATGCACCATGACAGAACACATAGAATTTGATGAGAATATTGAGTACTATTCAGAGGTATGAACTGGCAATTAAATTAATGATTTGTCTGCCATATTTTATGAGCTGATGACAAAAATACCTGCTATTAATCAATTTTTTTTAGTCAGAGTTATTCTCAATGTCATACACGTTTTTCTTTTAATAAAATGTCAATTTGATTTACAATTCTACCTATGTCTAAAGATACAGGTAATAAAACATAATAGAAATTAATGATTAAATATAGTAGAAATCATACCAGTATATATATATCGATGTAATAATAAAAAAAATTCAGTATCATTAAAGCTCCATTCAACCTCCAAAATCAATCTCGGGCCTGGTAGATTCAAATGACGAGAAATTTTCAGAATGCGTCGAAGCCTTAGTAGAGAGACTATACTGAGGTTTTTAGTTCTATATCATCATGGTTTCGAGAGATATTCAAGAAACAAGAATCACAAATAGTTCATTTAACACCTAAATATTCTCTGTATGCCTTCGTTGTATTCATTAAGTCTTGTTCATTTGAAAGAGCATGGCAAACTGCAGTGTTTGACGGAATCTTTTTTGTTTTAATCCTTACTTTTTATGCCGAGAAAAAGGATGGCAGGTTCAATATCTCGAAAAACTTTCAAAAAATGATTTATCTATTTATAGAAGTGCTTTTTTTCTATAGTTATCGGATAACTTATTTCGAAAAATGAGCTCTTTCTGGCACTGAAACTTTACATATTCTTTCAAACAAAAAGAATATCTCTTGAATAACATAACGCCCATTCAACAATTCTGAGATGCACGATCAAAAAAATATAGACAGAGAAAAATCGACAAATATTTATTAGTTTTTTTCTGAAAAATTCATATTTTTCAATTAGAATTTGACGAAAACCATCGGCAATTTTTGGTATAAAATGACATGATAAATGAAAAGTAATATTGTTTGTAAAAGATCTGATCTCCAAGTCTATCCTTCCATACATTTGTCTCAATTTGAGTAACTCCGAGGAAAGAGGAACGTTAAAAACAGCTAGCCACTATTATTCAGACACGAGATGATATTGGTGAGAATTGGTCATACATGCATCTGCTGACAACAAATAAGTAAAAGACATTCTTTATCTTTTGAAAATATTGATTATTCATTCTAATTGTTAATACATAATTCTGTTTGACAAAAAAAAATGAGAATTACCTTGAATTTGTTTCTCGATCAAATATCGATTCGTTCGTTCAATCATTCAATTGACTCGAAACGACAATAAATTAAACCTTTTTCAAACTGAATCTGAGATAGACGAATCTAGAATCATTATTTTTCTATTCAATGTCTGATTGTCAAGCTTTTATTGAAAATAATATAGTCACGTTACGTACATCGAAACTTTTGATAAATAAACTTTGCTACATATAGAAGCTCATTTCGAAAAACTGTTCCACCAAATAATGTATAAATGTAGAATGGCATTGCAGCAGCTATATAAGTAAGATTAGTACATAAATTGAACAATAAACCTTCAATAGCTATTTGTAATGCAGATTTTGATGATATAGCAGGTGTACATGTTGCGTAAAGTCTGTATATTACATATGGAGTACAAGATACGATGAGAAAAAGAACTTGTACACATAGCATTCTAAACAGACTTCGATTTGTTCTTTTCTTTTGTTGTTGTACATACAAGTTGATTGAAGTATTTGGATTTATTATTGAAGTATTTCTAATATTTACTCGTTTTCTTAATTGATGTATATTGTTAATTGTCAATAAACCAAATAACACCATAAGTAATGATGGAATAATAATAATGCCACATGTAAAAGATAGATCAGTGTATAGACGACATGCTGTCGAATATCCAAAACATTTAGCTGGTGTACCAATTAAATTAGCTTCATAACAATAAACTAGTGGACAATTGAGTAATAATGAAAAAAATGTTACAACTATGATACTTCGCTGAGCATTTTTTAGTGTGCTTAGATTACGTCGGCGAGTATGAATACTTGCTGAAAGCCATCTATCGATAGCAGCGAATACAAGAAGCCAAACCACCATAGTTCTTGAAACAAATAAAATAAAAATACGAACTTTACAAAGCCATCCAATTGTTTCAGATAAATCAATTGTCCAACCAGCTGTAAGTCGCGTTGTTAAACCAGATATAATTGTAATGAGACTTGAAAATGATGAAAAAAGAAACAGAAGAGCACATGGATTTGAGCGAAGAGTTGGTCTTTGTAAAACTATTATATTCAATAGATTTCCAATGATACCAGATATATAAATCAACAATGGTAAGTAACGATTAAGTTGAATAGTCGCGTTATTAACTGATGCGACGAGGTTTTCGTCGAACGAAGACATTTTAAAATTAAATTTATGTGAAATATCAATATCTAGAATTTTTAATACTCATGAATATGACTTTTTAGTAGGAATAAATATCAATTTAAAAAAATTGAAAATTTCAATTTATACGATTGAAACTTTTGCAAACAAATAAAGCTCACCAATATTCTATAGGTTTTGAAAGTATATCTTCTAATGATATCAATATTGATCTATTTTTAAGACTTGAAACTAAATGACAATGTCATTATTCATCTATAAAAACATACATTACATTATCAATATACTTTTCGAGGACTACTGGAAAATAATTGAACAATTAATCATCTTGTTAATTAGAATATTAGTAATGATTATTGATGACGATAGGACTAATTCATAATATAGAGTCAATGCTTCTAAAGCGAATGTATTACACATAAATGTACTTTGTAAACCTAATATTTCAGCCATTTCACATCCTATAACTTCAACTTTTACATTATGAAAAATAGTGTAAAACTCAAGTATCTTCTAATATTTCACTCATTTGTCACTTAGCGAAACCAAAATTCTCATGAAATTCTGCAGACAAATGTCTTCAGAACTGTCACGATCAACACTTCCAAGAGGTTTAATTAAAACAGGTTTCTTTGATCAATCAATTTATAAGAGAAACTGCTGAAAATTTTAAGTTTATGTTTATAAGTCAGCTGAATATGTATGTATGTGCAGCACAACGGGAAAAACAAGTTAACAATAGAATTTTTATTAACGGCATAAAGATTTCTGAAGTTTTATAATGCAGAGAAAAATCAATGAGAAACTCCTTTATCAGAGCTGTAGTGGAAGCCAATAGGCAGCAAATAGTTGTTGATACAACTGGTGATAATAATAATTTTTACCATAAAAATAAAACATGTTTTTGTTATCAGTGTCTGAATAACTCGTACTTGTTTTGTTACGTCAAAATTGAGCAAGTACAGACTTTCTCGAGTACGAATGCCAACCATTCGAGTAAAGGTAAGGGTATAACTAGAGCGGAAGTCACACTTGAGCATTACAATTTCAAGTACGACTACGTCAAAAATATATACTCAACATCGTTGACAACATTATTTTCGAGTATATATGAGTGCACTTTTACATAAAACCAAGGGTGGAAGAAATGAGTTATTTACTCTATCTTCAAGAGGCACTACCTGGATTTATGAGGATTTATTCATTGACAGTATACAATACATTTTAACTGCACGAAGAAAGAGCCATATTTCTGAACAGTTAATTCTCATCTCCACCTACCTTCACGAAATCGACTGAAAATTTTGAAAAAATGAATTTAGTAAGTAGCTGTGAAACAAAAATACAAATAACATATATATGAACTACAAATTTGACAGGATTTTATTCATGTAACACATTGTATATCGATTCTTGACGTTCAACAGAAAAGCCTTATTTCATATTTTCAGTTACTACAATAAAATTTATTGAATAGTACATATATATACAATTAATCTGTAAAAGACATTTAGTGTAGCTCATGTTTTTTGCGAATGTCTTCGTATTAATTTCATAATGTTCGATGATTTATGTTTTTCTAGATTATTCGAATATAAAACATCTGAAGCTAACAAAAATAAATGTCATTACGATGAAAATCCTTCTATTGAAAAATTCATTACCTCAAATCGATTCATTTTCGAAACAGAATGCCATGTGAAGAATTATGAAAACAAAAAAAAAACATTCGAAGGTTCATTTTATTTTTCTTTAGTTGATGAACTCATTATAAATATAACAGTTATGTTTGTTTATAAAATATAGCAATAGTTGAGTTTTCTAATGATTTTCTCAATATAGCATCCAAATAATACCTTGTTCATTGAATTAGATATCAACTTCTATTATGGAATGGCAGTGACGTTCTCTCATGTTCAATTCGTATATTTAATCTTAAATCAACTCCTGCGTAGTCTAAGGGTGAAAAATAATTTTAGAAACTCTTATTATTCATTTGAAATATTATTACATGAAATATATTTCCTAAGGTCATCCTTGAGTCTAGGCCCATATAACTGATGATTATCACTGGTCATCATTGTATTGTTAGATACCTATAACACAGACACACAAGTTTTCTAGACAATTATAAGTGGCATACTGTTTGTTTTAAATAAGTTTAGAGCGACATATTTTCTCGAATACTTTATTCAAATGAAAATAATTTATTATTGTGTATAGATGCTCTCTAATGACAGAAAATATCTAATGCCCTTTTTACATTATACGACATCCACCTCAAAGAGTACTTTTATTCATGATTTGCAATATCACTTACAAAAACATTTATGCTAGATTGATTGACGAGTAATGTTCTCATTTGTATACTATACAAATATGGAATTCCCTTGCATAACACACAAACCGTGATTGACAGAATCTCACATAAGAATAAATATAAAGCCTAGGTAATATTAAATTTAAGCAGAATTTCATTCAAATTAAACGAAAAACTAATATAAAATTTTCATTTCACTAAAAAAGACATATCTTATACTTGGTTTTTTTTATCAAGTAAACAGATGATCTCTTTCCATTTACTCTTATGGTAATGTATGTAACAATGGCTACTCCTACAGTTGACATCAGAAAATAATATTCCTCAATATTTTTATACACAAGCAAAAAAGGATTCATGTTTTGTGTATGAAATTTTCAGAAAAGACAATATTTATCCCACAACAGAAATACATAAGCTTAATAATCTGATTATATAAAGAAATCTCAAACGTCAGATCTAGAAAAAATAATTTAGACAATAAGAATCTAAGCAGATACATAAAAAATGTGATTCAATTCATCAATCGTGTGTCAAAATGCATAACGATTGTGCATACAGAAGAAATGAAGATCCTTATGCACTTACATTCATACTCTTCGATGTTGTTTTCTTTCGAGATTATTCGACATTTTCAAAAATCTTTCGTTCTTTTCGTTTGAACATAATCCAACAAAGCTCTAAAAAGATAGTTTATTTGTACTTTTCAAATCTTATATGAACCACGTTAATTCGCTGACAAATAAACATCTAGACAAAATAATACACAAATAAACATATGCTTTAGAGATTGTTCCTTTGTAGAATATACTCAGCAACTCAAAAATTTCCTAAACTCAACTAAATTTCAATAGAACACAATGACGAATCGTACAATTTTACACAAACAAATGAAATTTTATACAAGAAGACACTTCAAATGAATATCTGCTTATGGTCAATTTACTATCTTGCTTTTTTATTAATGATAAAACTTCTTTTCTCAATAGAAATAATTTAATCCTATTAATGCTTAAAGTGAATCAAAACTTTAAGGTCATTTTTTATCAAATAAAGTACATTAAAAGTAAAAAATTAAGAATATTTCTCTACCTTTATCTTTTTGTTTCCATTTATTTTATAATATGATCATTTAAAAAATATATTAACTTTCTCTAAATCTCATGTCTGTCTGATACAGCATTTTCTTTGATTAAAATATTATTCTTTCTTTGAGAATATATAAAAATCTTAAAAGCTAGTATATCTACTCTAGTTTGTATTTGGTTATAAAAATCCTATAAAAAATGTATTTCATAATGCTCATATAGATTTTCTTCAAACGGTACAAAGTCTCCATTTTATAACTTACTCAGTGGTTTTGTAAAGAGAGCTGATATTTTTTAATTTTATGTTTAGTCCTTTAGAGGAAGCTATATATATATATAAATAAATATCACTCGAGGTTTCTTGTTTTTGTTCCTCGTTAATTATTTATTTGCAATGGTAGTTAAAGTTGGAAGTAATTAGATGAAGTTCGTGACTTTTTTTCTAATGTGCATCGTATGCAATCTTCAAAAAACGACCTGGATCTTTCACAGATGCTTAATGAAGTTGTTGCAGATACTTCTTATTGTTCTATAAAAAGCAAACTGATCCTATTGAAAGAAGAGAAATTTATATGAATGTATGAATATATATTTAATGTTATATCTTGCTTTCGATATGTAAAAAGCAGAACTAAAGTGTTCTTGAAGAACGAGAGGAATATTTTAAAATAGCATAATACTATCTATGTAGAAAAATGTTGACAAAAAGAATGTCTTTGTCTAATCCATTTCATGACGTATAAATAATCAATGTGTTTCTAATTGACCTAACGAAGAAAAATCGTGATCATCAAGCAAAATAAAAAGTTAATAATGAACATTATATTCCCATTGAAATTTTATCAAGAAAAAGTATTAACACATACCTGGTAACATAAAACAAGACTTTGAAATCTTATTAAGAAAAAATTAGAACTGTATTGCGTGCCTATGTTCAAAAAACTGACTAATTCATTAAATTTTTATGATCGTTTGTACCAACTTTTATTAATAGGGTCTAGCTACAAGCTTTGTCATATATAATATTTATCCATCATATTTTATTTATAATAAAAGTTATTCTAATCAGTGAGGAAGGCTTTTTGACGTGTGTCCAATTAATTACTGATAATGTTCTTTTTATAATTATCAACGATGACTCATACAATGCAAGCAGACAAGAATTTCTAAAAACGTGTTTACACGTTTTAACGATGGTTTCTATCTCAGTCTTTTTATATCCGATCGGAAATTATTTAATCCAGGAAACTTCATCATAAAAAGCCTGCGAAGATGCTTAAAAAAAGCAACTTTTGCAACTAGAAAACGTTACAATATTTTGACATGTTTTGCAGATAAGATAAGAATGATTAATTTATACATGATGTATGCTAAAAATATTGTGAGAAAACTTTTTGAATGTTTTCCAAATGTAAAAGTTGCATTTTTTAAACGTCTTCACCTACCTTTGATAATGAAAGTACTTGGTTTTCTTGTTTTCTGAACCAACAAGAAAAATACTCAAAGGAGAACTTCGATTAGAGCGTATATACACGTTTTCTGAAAATCTCGTAAGCTTAGGTAAATAAAAAAAAGTAAAAAGAAAGTTTTACCACTATGGATAACTA